GCATGGCGAGTTTTTTGAAGTTGTATTTTTTTTGTCATAATTTTTCGGAAAATGAAAAAAAATGTAAACAATAATTTTCACTATTTTTTTTTTTTTTACAGATTGTCACCAGTGCAGTACAGCGTCATCATATAACTGGCATGGCAGTGATCAGGGACACTGACTGGCGACAGTATGAAAAAAAAAATATATATATATATATATATATTTTTTTTTTTTTTTTAAATTATTTTTAATTACTTTTTGTTTCTTTTTTTTTAAGATTTTTTTTCATATTTCACACAATTTGCTTATAGCAAAGAATTACTTTGCTATAAGCAAGCCTTTACCTAAATGACATCGATTCATTCAGGCTTTTTTTTTTTTTTGTGCTTAGCTGTGATTTGGCCACAGCTAATCACATGACATGTGCATGTGATCGCTGTGACCATTCACAGCTAGACACTAGTATACAATGGATGGCATGAATGAAGCCATCCATTGTATACAACTGTCATGTGACATGCTGTGATTGGTCTCAGCAGGTCACATGGTACCAGCAACGGGGGCCAGTACTCAGATCTGTCATCGGCCGTGTCCGAGGTACACGGCCGGTGACAGATCATGCGGCTCTGCAAGCGCGAAAACTGCACATGCCCGGGAGTACGCCATATGGCATCCACCCGGAAATCTACAGCATTTTGCCAGCTGCCAAACGGCTACTGGCCAGGTGGCTATTGGTTAAGAACCAGCTTTTTTTTTTTTTTTTAAACTAACAATTTTTATTTAACATTTTCATTATTAACCGCTTGCCATCCACCCTATAGCAGAAATACTCCTACAGGGCAGCACGGGTGCGCAAAATCATATATATACTGTACATGTTGTGACGGAAGTGACTTTTGGGGGTGGGGGAACCCCTGTTGTTCCTCTTGTGTGTAGCCCACTCTGTGCCTGTTAGGGGTACAGGGTGGTCTGTCCTGATATTGTGTAAACATGTATAGGTGGGGTGTGGGGGTTGTTCATTGTTTACTGCCATGTGGTCCCATTGTTCTATTATGAGTTTGTGTATTGACTTGGTGGGGGTGTTTCCAGCAGCCCTCCTGATGGGACTGTCTGTTGGGATGTGTCTCTGGTTGCTAAATTTGGTTTGCCCGTCCTGTGACCTTATGCAGGGAGGTGGGTTGTGCCCTTGAATGTTTATATCTTGTGTCTGTGGTAAAATAAAGCAGTTGACTTCCTGTCTTAAGAAGAGTCTGTCTATTTTCCTGCATGATCAGCGGTGGGGTCCGTGGATTTGTGTTCGGACAGGGAAGCTGGAGTCTAACGGAAATACCCTAGTGTGGTCTGGGACCGGTTCTGTTACATTGGTGGCAAGCGGTGGGATTGTGCTTCCAAGCTGTGAACACGTCCAAACCACCACCGGGCTTCAAGATCAGGAAAGGAGACATCAGTCACCCCAGTGGAGATATGGACCTGGCATCAGAGTTCCCAGGGCTGCTGCAGACCGTTCTTCAAACATACCCCAGGACTGTGTCTACGGATCAGTACCTGGAGCTCAGGCAGCAGATTTGGGAGGTGCTTTGGAGAGGAGCCCTCCAGGCTGCTGGTATGGACAAGGGCAAGTGCTATCCAACCCCAGGGGAATGGGCCAGGGACCATCAGAAGTTACGAATGCCATTCCTGGGAGAGCGACCCCAGGAGCGATGGGTGACTGAGTTAGAAAGGGTGGTCCAGCAGGAGATAGAGCTGGACAACAGATATCGGGCTCTGCAATGGTACACAGAGCAGGAATATTTAGGGGTGACAACAGAATGCTCTCCTGAGGGACATAACTTTGGTGGGCCTGGATTGCTGTGGGAGAGCCTTACAGATCATTTTGTGTTTGGCGATAAAGGAGAACCTACCCTGGAGGAGTTGCAAGAAGACAGCGAGGCTATGTTCGGTCTCACAAGGGTCTCAGAGCTTGACACAGATCTGGAATACATGCTGAAGAAAGAACTGCATCTGGAAAGTGCATACAGGCAACTGCTAAAACATGTTCGACAGTGGAAATTCCAGAGACTGGGGATTTTTTTTAATTTTTTTTTTTTTAATTTAAATATTTATTCATTTTCCATATAAAATACATTTTCCATCATAACTCTCTTATAACATACAAAATCATCGAATTATATCCCTTTCTATCTTTGTTTCCATTCCCTCCCCCCCATACACCTATCCCCACCAACCCGAAAAACCCCACCCCCCCTCCAATCTAAAACCCACCCACTCTGCATTTCTCCATTACATCTTGTCCTATGTAAGGGGGTACTTTCTTATATCCTACTCTATTCCTTCATATATTTCACCTTAGGCGCAAAAGATTCCCACTTTCCCCATCTCCTGTAATATAACCCCATCTTCTCTTCTTGCATATAATACAGTTTCTCCATCCTGCTTATCTGAATCACTCTCTCCACCCAATCCTCTTCTCTCGGCACCTCAGAACTATGCCAAAACTTAGGTATCAGACACTTTGCCGCATTCAGACAGTACCAAATACCCGAATCCTTGTATTTGTTCACTGATAGCTCTGTACTATGCAGCTGACACAACTCTGGATCCAATCCTATCTTTATCCCCGAAATTATCCCAATTAAAGGAACCACTGTCTTCCAAAAACCTTGTATCTTTAGGCACTCCCACCATATGTGATATAACGTACCTATCCCTCCACACCCCCGCCAACACTCTGGTGTATTCTCCCCACACATCTTATATTCAACATTCGGTGCAATGTGCCATCTTGTTAAACACTTATAGTTTACCTCCACCTCTCTCATGCTTACATTCTCATGTGTTAATCTATATATTTTCCTCTGTTTTTCTTCATCTATCTCTATTCCCAATTCCCTTTCCCATTTTCCTATATACATTGGTTTTGTGTGTGTGTCTAACTCAGTGAGAATCTTATAAACTTTTGCCGTGCCCAGTTTCCCATCTCCACGTGATTCCAACAACCTCTCAAACAAATTCCAATCCTTTCTCAATCTCAACGGTTTTGGAAGACTCCCAACAAAGTGTTTCAATTGATGATATCTCCACTCGTCTATCTTACTGAAAAGCTCCCTTTTGTCCTTTTTCAAATCCTTAAGTGTTCTCAATTTCTGCCCTTCCATAATATCCCTCAGTTGAATATCCTCCTTTTTAAACCATTTTCCTGTGCTCTCCTCCCTACCTGGAGGGAATTACTCCGTGTTCCTCAGTGACATTAATTGTGAATTAAAATCCCATTTCATGAACTTGTGCAATTTATCCCAAACCTTTAAAACATTTAATGTATAAACACTCATGGTATCTTTTAATCCTCTATATTGTGCTGGTGCCCATATGACTTTACTCAAGTTAACTCCGCTTAATTCATTTTCAATCTTAACCCATCTTTTCCCCTCTGGATTGTGTGTCCAGTCAAATTCTTGCTAAAACCACTGCTCTATAATACCTCTTAAAATCCGGCACTCCCAATCCTCCCCTCTCTTTATTTCTACTCATCAACTCATAAAATATTCTGGGTTTTTTATTTTTCCATATATATCTTGTTAACATCTTTTTAATTACCTTGAAAAAGACCTCCGGAAGTTCAACTGGGATCATCTGGAATTTATATAGGATTTTAGGTACAATTACCATTTTTATCAGGTTTATGCGCCCTATCCAAGACGGGTTACCTCCACCCAATTTCTTTAGTTCCTCCTTAATCTCGTTTAAAAGTGAGATATAATTTGATTTACACAAATTTGTATATGTAGCAGTGAGTTTAATCCCTAGATATTTTATTTCTCTATCCTTCCATATAAAAGGGAATTCTTTTTGTACTTTTTCTTTTTCACTATTTGGAAGATTTATATTTAAGATCTCAGTTTTTGTTGGGTTGATTTTCAAGTTTGATAGCTCCCCATAATCCTTTAAGCTCTTCATTAAATTTGAGAGTGTTATCCTAGATTTCCCACATAGAACAGCAGGTCGTCAGCAAAGGCTGCCACTTTATGTTCCATTCCTCCTATCTGTATTCCTTTTATGTCCGTATTTTTCCTAATTGTTGCCAATAAAGGTTCCAATGATAATACAAACAAATGGGGACAGTGGGCATCCCTGTCTTGTTCCATTTGACATCCCGATAGGTTCCAACTTCTCTCCATTAACCAAAATAACCACGGATGGCTCGCTATACAATTTTCCTATCCACTCTCTCATTCTACCTCCCAATCCTAAAATCTCCAGAGTGTCCATCATAAAACTCCAATCTACTCTATCGAATGCCTTTTCAGCATCGATTGAAAGCACTACTGCCGGAGTTTTTCCATTCCTAGCTTTCTGGATAAGCAACAGGGTTCTCAACCCATTGTCTCTACCATCCCTCCCTGGTACAAATCCTACCTGGTCAACCTGTATCCATTCTGGCATTAAATCTTTCAACCTATTTGCCAAAACCTTTGCATATATTTTAGTGTCTATGTTCAAAAGTGAGATTGGTCTATAGCTAGAGCACTGAGAAGCATCTTTCCCCTCCTTTTGAATAAGTACCACATGGGCCTTTAAGGATTCTCGCCTCATCTCCATCTCCCCACCCAGGGCGTTCATATATTTTCTTCAATTTAGGTATTAACAATTCACTATATTTTTTATAGTACCTCGCAGTATAACCATCTGGGCCTGGGCTTTTCCCCATCATGGTATTTTTTAATGCTATTTTTATTTCCTCTTGCGTAATTTCTGAATCCAGGGAATTCAGTTGTTCTTCACTTAGCTTCGGTAGTCCTGCATTTTTTAGATATACCCTTCTTTTTTCTCTACTCGTATCTCCATTTTTATTTACTGAATCCTGGGAAGTAATATTATACAGCTTGTTATAATATTCTTTAAACACCTTGGCGATCTCTTTAGTAGAATAAACCGTTTCTCCCCCCTGGGGTTTCTTATTTTTTCTATGTAATTCCTGTTTTTGTTTTTCCTCAAGGCTCTCATTAAATATTTTTTCCTGGTCTATCTCCCCATCTATACCTCTCACTTATTGCTTTATATAATGTGAATCCTTGTGAGCTATTAAGAATGAGGTATTCTGTGGGTGTTAAACAATTATGTGCTAGTTTTTTGTGTTAGGTGCGCTGGCACTTACACAAACTCACTTGGTAGTGTCAGATCAATATATAAGGTATTAATAATGCCGCGCTCCTATTTGTATACATATATATCTCTATGTCTCTATATCCAATCTGTGCTCATTCTACTTAATAGATAGTGATATTCCATAAACTAATATAATTAAATAATTGCTGATATATTGCCAATACACACACATACACAACCTAAATTTGTGTGATAAATAATAATCAATATAGGACCTTGATATAATGTAAATAATACATAAGTGAATATATCAATAAAAGTATAAATATAATTAGTGCCACTCTAATTATACAGTCATGGCCGAAATTGTTGGCACCCTTGATATTTTTCCTGAAAATCAAGTATTTCACACAAAAAGGTATTGCATTAACACATGTTTTTGCTATACACATGTTTATTCCCTTTGTATGTATTGGAACAAATATAAAACAGAGGCAGAAAAGCAAATATGACATAATGTCACACAAAACCCAAAAATGGGCTGGACAAAAGTATTGGCACCCTTAACTTAATATTTGGTTGCACACCCTTTGGAAAACATAACTGAAATCAGTCGCTTCCTATAACCATCAATAAGCTTCTGACACCTCTCACCCGGAATTTTGGACCACTCTTCCTTTGCAAACAGCTCCAGGTCTCTCTTATTGGAAGGACACCTTTTCCCCAACAGCAATTTTAAGATCTCTCCACAGGTGTTCAATGGGATTTAGATCTGGGCTCATTGCTGGCCACTTCAGAACTCTCCAGCGCTTCTTTGCCATCCATTTCTGAGTGCTTTTTGACGTATGTTTGGGGTCAATGTCCTGCTGGAAGACCCAGGATCTTGGACGCAAACCCAGCTTTCTGACACTGGGCCCTACAGTGCGACCCAAAATCCTTTGGTAATCCTCAGATTTCATGATGCCTTGCACACAGTCAAGGCACCCAGTGCCAGAGGCAGCAAAACAACCCCAAAACATCATTGAACCTCCACCATATTTTACCGTAGGTACTGTGTTTTGTTCTTTGTAGGCCTCATTCCGTTTTCGGTAAACAGTAGAATGATGTGCTTTACCGAAAAGCTCTATCTTGGTCTCATCTGTCCACAAGACGTTTTCCCAGAAGGCTTTTGGCTTACTCAAGTACATTTTGGCAAACTGTAGTCTTGCTTTTTTATGTCTCTGTGTCAGCAGTGGGGTCCTCCTGGGTCTCCTGCCATAGCGTTTCATTTCATTTAAATGTCGACGGATAGTTCGCGCTGACACTGATGCTCCCTGAGCCTGCAGGACAGCTTGAATGTCTTTGGAACATGTTTGGGGCTGCTTATCCACCATCCGGACTATTCTGCGTTGCAATCTTTCATCAATTTTCCTCATCCGTCCACGACCAGGGAGATTAGCTACAGTGCCATGGGTTGCAAACTTCTTGATAATGTTGCGCACTGTGGACAAAGGCAAATCTAGTTCTCTGGAGATGGACTTGTAACCTTGAGATTGTTGATATTTTGAGTTGCCACAATTTTGGTTCTCAGGTCCTCAGACAGTTCTCGTCTCCTCTTTCTGTTGTCCATGCTTAGTGTGGCACAGACAGACACACAATGCAAAGGTTAAGTGAACGTCTCTCCTTTTTATCTGCTTTCAGGTGTGATTTCTATATTGCCCACACCTGTTACTTGCCCCAGGTGAGTTTACAGGAGCATCACATGCTTGTAACATTCTTATTTATCCGCAGTTGTGAAAGGGTGCCAATACTTTTGTCCAGCCCCATTTTTGGAGGTTTTGTGTGACATTATGTCGAATTTGCTTTCTTTCTCCCTTTTTTTGTTTTGTCCCAATACACACAAAGGGAATAAACAAACATGTGTATAGCAAAACATGTGTTAATGCAATACGTTTCGTGAGAAATACATGATTTCCTGGAGAAATATCAAGGGTGCCAACAATTTCGGGCCATGACTGTATGTGATCAATCCGGCAATATTAGTGCAAAAATATACTAATGTGCACGTGCATAAGTGTAATACATGAAAAATAAATAAATAAAGTCTTTATAAGCAAGTGCCAAAGTGCAGGTGAATCCTTGTTCCCTCTCGCCAGGTGCCTTATGGTCTCCCTATGCGCTCACCTTTAAGTTTGCCTGAATGAATTCAGGCAAAAAAACTTTTTGATCCTTCCAGGATCGGTGGGTTGATGCTCTGTGTGATTAGATGTGCCAAAGGTGTAGATGTAGGTACTCCTGTACTCTCCTCTTTCTCCTTTAACAACTGCTCATACACCGATATAAAGACCAGCTCTTTCTCCTTATTCCCCTCCAGGGGTCACCTCCTTCTCATTTCCTCCTCTCACCCATGTGGAATTTAAGGGTCAGATGTAGATAAAAGAAAAACAAACCATTGTGCTTTATCCTTTTAAAAGTGGAAATTTATTTCTGCCTGTAGCGATATTTCACAGCGATACACAGTTCCTTGGTAGTCCAGGGCGGCATAAATAACACAGTCAATAATGGGTGAGCAATCCTGTACCTCTGCTCTCCCTCCCTGCCTGCCACTGTCTGCGTTGGAATCGCCGAGCCGAGCCTCTGCAATGTCGTGACGTCAGAGCCCCTCCCCTACGCGTTGCGTCACAGGGTCACGTGACTTCATCAGGGGGATAATGATTGGATGCCACAACTTGTCCTTGCCCATATATATATTACTCGGCCACCATCTTGTTGAAGCCCACATGGGCGCGGCCATTTTCTGAGTGATTATAATTGTCTTAGCTGCAACTCAGTGTCTGTCCATATAAATACACTTGAGTGCAGGGATAGATCTGTCTGTCAGACATTGCTACTCGGGTCAGCTGTGTTCCTTCTCTCCTATTAGTACTAATGTAGCATTTAGAATAACCTTATATAATACTGTGTATCTTTACACAGTATTATATAAGGTTATTCTAAATGCTACATTAGTACTAATAGGAGAGAAGGAACACAGCTGACCCGAGTAGCAATGTCTGACAGACAGATCTATCCCTGCACTCGAGTGTATTATATGGACAGACACTGAGTTGCAGCTAAGACAATTATCGGTGTATGAGCAGTTGTTAAAGGAGAAAGAGGAGAGTACAGGAGTACCTACATCTACACCTTGGCACATCTAATCACACAGAGCATCAACCCACCGATCCTGGAAGGATCAAAAAGTTTTTTTGCCTGAATTCATTCAGGCAAACTTAAAGGTGAGCTAATAGGGAGACCATAAGGCACCTGGCGAGAGGGAACAAGGATTCACCTGCACTTTGGCACTTGCTTATAAAGACTTTTATTTATTTATTTTTCATGTATTACACTTATGCACGTGCACATTAGTATATTTTTGCACTAATATTGCCGGATTGATCACATATAATTAGAGTGGCACTAATTATATTTATACTTTTATTGATATATTCACTTATGTATTATTTACATTATATCAAGGTCCTATATTGATTATTATTTATCACACAAATTTAGGTTGTGTATGTGTGTATTGGCAATATATCAGCAATTATTTAATTATATTAGTTTATGGAATATCACTATCTATTAAGTAGAATGAGCACAGATTGCATATAGAGACATAGAGATATATATGTATACAAATAGGAGCGCGGCATTATTAATACCTTATATATACCTCTCACTTGCTACTTTATTGAAGACTCTTCTCCTCTCTTCTTCCATCAGTATTTCTAGTTCTTCTTTCTATTTTGTTATCTTCTGTGTTATCTCTTTTCTTATGCTATTTTTATGTATCTGCTCCAGGTCAAATATTTCTTTTAACAACCCAGTAAGTTTCTCTCTTCTCTCCCTTTTCTTTTTTGCCGCGGACGCGATCAATATACCTCTTATGTAGGCCTTATGGGACTCCCATACCGTAGCCACCGACACTTCCCCTGTCTCATTCTCCTGGAAGAATCTTTCGATCTCTTCCCTAATCCTCTGGTCGATCTCCTGATCCAGGAGAAGAGCCTCGTTCAACTTCCATCCTATACCTCCTGTCAACCTCTTCCCCCATCCCAATTTCATTTTAACAGGGATATGATCTGAGAGAGTCATTGCTTCAATTTCAACTTTAGCCACCCTCTCGATAAGTTGATTGTCAACCAATATATAGTCCAATCTCGAGTACATCTCATGTACATTAGAGAAGAAAGTATAGTCTCTTTCCTTTCCATGTATTATTCTCCATATATCCGCCAGTTGGCACTCATACATCACCTTCTTTAAAATTCTCAGAGCCCTACTTCCCTCTCGCTGTACAGAAGAGGTCGTATCCATTTGTGGATCCATGCAGAAATTCAAATCCCCTGCCACTATCAAACGTCCCTTTTTAAAGGCCATCAGTTTTCTCAAAACACTTTTCAGATATACCTCCGGTCTCTTATTTGGGCAATAAATATTTGCAATTGTACATTCCATCTCTTGCAATCTACCTTTCAAAAACAAAAATCTCCCCTCAGGATCTATTTCTCTCTCCTCCCCAACTCCCACCTTATGTTTTTTACAAACCTTATTGCTACTTCCTTAGTTCTCTTAGTTGGAGAATCTGCATAAAACCATGTTGGATAATTTCTAGAATTCAGCTTGATATTTGACTTAATCTCAAAATGTGTCTCCTGCAAAAAGACCACCGAAGCTTCTCTATGTTGCAACTCTTTGAATAGCTTAAATCTCTTCCCAGGACAATTCAACCCATTTACATTATATGTTATAAACCGTAAATCTTCCATACTTCTTGTATCCCCTCTTTTCTGCTCAATTTCCTCTTTTCCACCCTTAATTCTCTTATACTTCCCTTCCATATGTAGAGTGTTAACTTTAATACCCCCTCCCCGTTCCCTCCTCCCCCTCCCACCCCCTTTGCTCCCTTCCCATCCCACTCCCCTCCTCACTCCTCCCAGTACCCTCCCTCCCATCACCTCTCTCCCCCCCCCCCCCCCCCCCAACCCATCCCCCTTCCCCCACCTCACCCCTCCCTTTTTTAGGCTTGCAATTTGCCTATTAATCTTTTGGGGATCCAAACCCACCATAGATTTACCACCTTGGGGTTGAACTCTACCCATGAACGGCCTCCCCTACGTCCCACCCCCCCAGATACCCCTAATCTATCTAGTATATTCAGTGCGGTTCCAACAAGTCTTAAGACCCCAAAAGGAGCTATCTCATGAGGAAAAAAGGATAGAGGGATAGATGAGGGAGAAGAAAAACCTCCCCAATTATCCTTCAACTATCTATTCAGTCCTGTAAACTTTCACCGTACCCATAAAAACGGATTTCCAAAAGAAACACCATAGGGAGGAAGAGGTCAAGAGGGGAGGGAAAAAAAAACCTCACATCCCCCCACTCCTCCTTACTTCCCCCTTCTAACAGTCTGCCAATCCTCCTTTCCCTCAACTCCTATTACTCCCTCTTCCTCCCACCCAGTAATCTCCACTCTATGCAAGTCCAGTCTATCGCAGAAGTCTCTAAAGTCCTCAGGGTATCTCAAGTAAGCTGTAACTCCATTCTTCCATCCGATTAAACACACTGGAGTACCCCATCTATAGTGTACATTTCCGTTCTCTCATCTGTTCCAACAGGGGTTTCAAAGATCTCTTTCTCCACATAGTCTCAGGTGATAGGTCCGCAAAGATTTGAATGCTTATTTCTCCATACTCAATAGTTGTTCTTCCTTTGATCTTTCTCCAAATCTCTTCCTTATCCCCATACTTGTACAATTGAACAATTATATCTCTTGGTTTTTCCTTCTCATTACCTTGGTGCAACTTTCCTGTTCTAAAAACTCCTTCCAATTTAACTGGCTCTGTTTCAGGTTTGTCCATTATGGAGTTTAAGATTTTACCCACCAAATCTTGCATTTCTTCCCCTTTAAAAATTTCTGGAATTCCTTGTATCCTAAGGTTACTCCTCCTCTCTCTGTTCTCTTGTACTTCCATCTTATACAGCAATTTCTTCTGAGTTTTCCTAATGGAAATTATCTTTTTTTCTAGATCTATAATATTTTGGGGCTGATTTTTAACTTTGCCCTCCGTATCCTCCATTCTCAGTAACAAATGCTCCAAATCTTTCCGTATAGTTGTCATTTCTTGCTTTATAGCTTTTTCCAGATTTTTAAACATTTCTGCCATTTCTTTTTTATTCAGTACTTGTAAATCACTTTCCGGATCTTTCCTCTCTATATTTTCAAAAATTTGTTGGCTGCTACTATTCAGTCCCAGCGATAGTCTAGAGCTGTTTTCCAGGCTAATTTCCATTTCCCCTTTTTCACTTCCTCCTTGGGACCTTTCTGGGGTCACATTTCCCTGAGACGTGTATTTTTTTAATCGTACCCGTTTGGGACCCTTTAAGTCCACTTCATTTAGTGCTTTTACTCCTCATATCTTCTGTGGTTTTATTTTTTCCAAACCAAACCAGGGGGGAACTTTTTTTTTTTTCTCTATTTTCTTTCTCCTCTCCTCCCTCCCTCCTCTCCCTTAATATATGTTAGGAAGTCAATGTTAATCTGTTTAGTTATCCGTTATCACTTTCCTTTCCTTTTCTTCTAGGGCCATTTAGCTCCTTTTCTTCTTCCACTCCTTCATATCCCCCTAGGAATCCCCCCTTTCTCCCATGCAGAGTGTTTTAACTTCTACCCCACAGTCCAGACCATTATACAGTTACCCAGGGTCATTTTCACTCACCCTCCTTCGATCACTTCTCCTGTGAGCTTGCCCCAGTCTAAAATGTCTGTTTTTCTGTTGGGGGGATTCCTTCAGGGTCTCCTCTTGTCTTGTGTGGCCCTCTGTAGGGTGATGGCTAGATGCTGTTCCGACTGTACATCAGGTTAGGGATTAGACCGGCGTCTCCCTCTCTTCCCTGGATGCCGGCCGGCTTCTCCCCTTCCCAGTACTCCTTCGCGGCTGACCCCGTGGTCACGCTGCGCCTCTCCTTCACCTTCCCAACCCCGGCTGCTCCTTCCCCCAGGCTCACTGCGGGCACGTCTCTTGAAATCCAGGGGCTCGCTCCCCCTCCGTCTCTCCGTGCACAGGACTTTCCCACAAGGGGAGCAGGCCACCCACAGGAAACTCCACCAATGTGCTGGAGGGAGCGAACCGGCGTCCTCCCTCTCACTTCGGACGCCGGCCGGCTTTTCCCCTACCCATACTCCTCCGCGGCTACCACGTGGTCCCGCCGCGTCTTCTCCCAGCAGCCCCGCACTTCAAGTCGGACTTCTACTACAGGCCTCCTGCGAGCTCTGCTGTCATGGCCCGTTTTCTCCCTGCCGTTCTCGGGACCGCCGATTCCCCTCTGGTCCCCACCACTCTCAGGTAGGTCCCCGGTTCAGATCTCTGCAGGCATCTGGGGCGGTGTAGAGGTCTCGGAGAGCACCCGCTCCGTGCTCTCCTACACCGCCATAGCTAGGCTCCGCCCCCAAACAGGTGCACTTTACATCATGCAGAGACTGGGGATTTGATAGACTTCTCGGCTGAGGAGGAACCAGTAGAAGACCTGGCAACAGGGCCAAACATTAGTGAACTCTGCCCAGCCCTGGTAACATCTTTTGAGTTCCACGGACAGGAGATGGTGAACCCCTATCCCCAAACACAAATTCCAGAGACTGGGGATTTGATTGACTATTCTGCTGAAGAGGAACCAGCCAGCTTGCCTCCTGCAGAAGAGCTGGCACCAGGGCATGGCGTGGTTGACCTCTGCCCACAACAATCAGCACCGCAGGAGCTACAGAAAGAGGATGCAGTCGGCACCTCACAACTGCAGCTTGAGCTGATGTCCGTGGATGGACTTCGGTCTCCACTGACACAACCCCAGAAAAGGGTCTGGCATTGGGACAAGAGGATGTCAGCCTTGCTTTGCAAACAATGGGGGATGTCCATCAAGTCCAGTTCCGTTACAGATGTGATTTTGCATTTCTGGGCAGAGGGTGCAGGCGCGCCCTACCTGCGCCACCATTCGTGGCCTCAGCTCTCAATAACCAGGTCGCAGCCGGTGATTCCCTGCCGGCACCTGGCGATCTCCGAGGATTTCCGACGGGAGAGACCTGTATGTAAACAATACAGATCTCTTCCCTGTCAGCTCCTGTGCACTGCTTTGTATGGATCTGCATAGCACCGCCATACAAAGCAGTGTGCTTACAGTGAAACACACACAGCCCACACAGTTAACCTGTTGACCACCCCAGATGTTAACCCCTTCCTGCCCAGTGCCATTAGCACTGATTACTGTATTGGTGTCACTGGGGATGTCAGTGACACCAAGTCAGTTCCCCCCCCAGTGTCAGAATGCCTGCTGCAGTCCCTCTATAAGTCGCTGATCGCCACCATTACTAGTAATAAAAAAAAAAAAATCTCAGTATCTATACCGCCATTTGTAGACACTATAACTTTCATGTAAACCAATTAGTTTACACATATTGGGATTTTTTTTTAGCAAATACATGTAGCAGAATACATTTTGGCATAAACTTATGACACAATGTGATTTTTAAATTATATATTATTATATATATTATAGTAATATGACGGATGCAAAGTGGTTCTCTCGTTCTGGGAGGACATCATGTGATGATTAGGTGTTTTCCAATGGTAGTTTCCTAATCTGTCCAAGATCACCTAATCTGTCCAAGGACAAAGAGTTGTTTTAGCCCAATTTTCAGTTAGGCTAAAATTAAGGTGAGCGCGTAAGAAAATCACATCCAGTTTTTCAGAATATTATCACGGAGTGGACACAATATTGGATTTTATGTTAATAATTGGACATTTTTTGGATTATATTTCAATATATTTTTTATATATTTTTATAAATTATAAATCTATCACATTCACATGTTATATTATTTATATATTTGTTTCTTCCATCATACATATTTTTTGTTTTTTTGGATCATATAGTATTGAGCACTAATAGCACTTTATAAACACAATTCATTTATTCAGTGGAAATAATAACATTTTTATATATTCTCTATAGGATAGCAAACGTAGATGTTTTGAGTTCAGGTCCACTTTAATAAGAAAAAGAATGTTAGTTTCGTTGAAAAATGTCACACAATAGAAGAGAAACTATAAAAATTGGCAAATACTGCTGTTCAGCTGGGGAGTGTAGCAAGATCACTGGGTGCAGCCGCCTGAAAAGGAAACTTCAGATGAAGTGAGGAAACCGAAACAAACACCATTGTGCA